CATGAAGTCCCAAGGACTACCCCGACGAGGTGATCAACTTCATGCGCAGCCACCCGCTCATGTACCAGCCCGTGTACCCGCTGCAGCGGCGGCCGCTGGTGGTCCGCACGGGCGCCCCCTACCGCCTCACCACCGTCGCCGTGGACCAGGTGGATGCGGCCGATGGGCGCTATGAGGTGCTTTTCCTGGGCACAGGTACCCACTGCTGCTCCCAGCCCCTCCTGCGCTGGGCCCACGGGTGGAGGGGGCTTCTCCATGGGGCTGGGACCTACGCTCTTGGGGTTGCTACAGGCTGGGCAAGGTCAGCTCTGCCCCCTTCATCCTGTGGAGGCTTCTCCCTGTTGCCAGGGTAGCAGACTAGGGGTGGGCAGACCCCATTCTCATCCCTGGGGGACAAGAGACCCTGTACGGGCAGGAGAAGGGGGACATGGCTGACACTTCCAGGATATGTGGGTCCAAATACTGCCACGTGCTCTCGTGTGCACCTACGTGAAGGGCACCCCCCACAGCTCCAGCAGCCTCTGCACGGGCCGCCAGCGCCTGCTCTGAGTGGTGCCCAGCCAGGGTCTGGTGGAGGGGCGCCCCTCAACCCCGGCCAGTCCTCTCAGAGACCTCTCCCCGCTATCGGGGAGGCTTCAGCCCTGGCACAGAGCTGCTGACCACTGCCCCTGGGGTCGGGCCCTGGTGGGGAAGGGGCTGAGGCCAGTGCCCCTTCCCCAGTGCCCTCAGCCCACTGAGGCCCTGCCCGGCCCGTTCCAGACCGCGGGACAGTACAGAAGGTCATCGTGCTGCCCAAGGACGACCAGGAAATGGAGGAGCTCATGCTGGAGGAGGTGCAGGTCTTCAAGGTGGGTGTGGCCCCGGCCTGTCCTCGCGGGGCCCTCAGTGCCAGCGCCCGACCTCAGAGCCCAGGGCGGGGCCGGGAAGGCCCCAGAGCCCCGGGCTGACCCTTCTCTCCTCCCAGGACCCAGCGCCCGTGAAGACCATGACCATCTCCTCCAAGAGGGTGAGTTTCAGTGGGGCGGGCTGCGGGGAGGATGGCGCCCGCTCCCCTTGGGGGTCATGCCCTGGGCACAGGGGTGGGGAAACTGAGGCACAGAACAGGAAGGGAAGGGGCTGCCTGGGGGAGGGAACTGACCAGCCCCTCCCCCACCCCCTCCCCAGCAACAACTGTACGTGGCCTCTGCTGTGGGCGTCACGCACCTGAGCCTGCACCGCTGCCAGGCCTACGGGGCTGCCTGTGCCGACTGCTGCCTCGCCCGGGACCCCTACTGCGCCTGGGACGGCCAGGCCTGTTCCCGCTACACCGCGTCCTCCAAGAGGTGTGCACCCCAGACCCGGGGGGTTCTAGCCCCAGGCCCCACCCTGGGGGTTTGGAGGTGGAGGTGAAGTCACCCAGAGGGAGTCCGTGGCCCTGGTCTCAGGGCGCAGGGCCTGGGAGGGCGAGTTCCCTAGGCAGCTCCGTCAGTGGCTCTCCTCACCCAGGCGGAGCCGCCGGCAGGACGTCCGGCACGGGAACC